AATTAAGGATCTTGTCCTCCACAGAATTGTAGCATATTAGATTTATCCAGCTCAAAATGTACATTGAAGTCACTTATGATGTTATACTTGTTATTTGCATCTGATTTCCCGCATCCAACATTACCACTACTGTTTTTTACCATTAATGTTTACTGCATGTAAAAATGGTACAGCAATTATCATGGGGGATTTTAACCTACATATCGATTGGTCAAAACAGGTCGGTCATGGCAGCCTTGAGGAGGGGTTCATAGAATGCATCCGTGATAATGTCCTTGAACAATATGTAATGGAACCTACAAGAGAGCAAGCTATCCTAGATCTAGTCCTGTGTAATGAGACAGGAATAATTAATGATCTTACAGTTAGCGATCCTCTCGGAAGGAGCCATCACAGTATGGTCGAATTTAAAATACAGATGGAGCGTAAGAAGGTTAAATCCAGTACCAATGTCCTGTGCTTAAACAAAGGAGACTATGATGGGATGAGGGGGGAGTTAGGTAAGGTAAAATGGGAGCAAAAACTTTATGGTGGGTCAATTGAGGAACAGTGGAGGACTTCCAAAACAATTTTTCATAGTGCTCAGCAGAAGTATATTCCAGTGATAAGGAAGAACTGTAGGAAAAGAAATAGTCAGCCATGGATGTCTAAGGAAACAAAGGAAAGTGTCAGATTAAAAAAAAATAAAAAAGCAAAGATTAGTGGGGAAACTAGTAGACTAGGAAATCTTTAAAGGCCAACAGAAAGCCACAAAAAAAGTTACAAAGAAAAGTAAAATAGATTATGAGAGTAAACTAGCTCAAAATATAAAAACAGGCAGCAAAAGTTTCGATAAATATGTAAATCGTAAAAAGTGTGGCAAAGGTAAACATTGGTCCTTTAGAGGATGAGAAGGCCAATTTAATAACTGGGAATGAGGAAATAGCTGAGGCATTAAACAGTTATTTTGTGTCGGTCTTCACAGTGGAAGACAGAAATAACATGCCGAAAACTGATGGCAAGAAGGTTATAGCAGGTGAGGACCTAGAAACTATCACCACCACTAAGGAGGCAGTGCTGGTCAAGCTAATGGGGCTAAACATAGACAAGTCTCCTGGCCCTGATGAAATGCATCCCAGGGTACTAAAAGAGGTGATGGGGGAAATAGCAAATGCGCTAGTAATTATGTACCAAAATTCACTGGACTCTGGGGTGGTTCCAGCAGATTGGAAAACAGCCAATGTGACACCACTGTTTAAAAAGGGAAGTAGACAAAAAGCAGGTATCTATGGGCCAGTTAGCTTAACTTCGGTAGCGGGGAAAATACTTGAATCTATCATTAAGGAAGAAACAGCAAGACATCTGGATATAAATTCTCCCATTGGGAACACCCAGCATGGGTTCATGAAGGGTAGGTCATGTTTAACTAATTTGGTGGAATTCTTTGAGGACATTACTTGCATGGTGGACAATGGGGAACCTGTGGTGTAGTGTATCTGGATTTCCAGCAGGCATTTGACAAGGTGCCACAGCAAAGGCTGCTACAAGAGATAAAGTTGCACAGTATTACAGGTAATGTATTGGCATGGATAGAGGATTGGTTGACCAGTAGAAAGCAAAGAGTAGGGGTAAATGGGTGTTTTTCTGGTTGGCAGTCAGTGGCTAGTGGTGTGCCTCAGGGATCACTGTTGGGACCGCAATTGTTTACAATTTACATAGATGATTTGGAGTTGGGGACTAAGTGTGGTGTGTCAAAATTTGCAGATGACACGAAGATGAGTGGTAGAGCAAAGTGTGCAGAAGACACTGAAAGTCTGCAGAGGGATATAGATAGTCTAAGCGAGTGGGCAAAGGTCTGGCAGATGGAGTAGAATGTTGATAAGTGCGAGGTCATCCATTTTGGTAGGAATAACAGCAAAATGGACTATGTTTTAAATGGTAAAAAAATGCAGCACGCAGCTGTGCAGAGGGACTTGGGTGTCCTTGTGCATGAATCGCTAAAAGTAGGATTGCATGTGCAGCAGGTAATTAAAAAGGCAAATGGAATTTTGTCTGTCATTGCTAGAGGGATGGAGTTTAAAAGCAGGGAGGCTATGCTGCAGCTGTACAGGGTCCTGGTGAGGCCACACCTGGAGTACTGTGTGCAGTTTTGGTCTCCTTACTTGAGAAGGGATATACTAGCACTGGAGGGGGTGCAGAGGAGATTCACTCGGTTGATTCCAGAGTTGAGAGGGTTGGACTACGAGGAAAGACTGAGTAGGCTGGGATTATACTCATTGGAATTCAGAAGAATGAGGGGAGATCTTATAGAAACATAGAAGATTGTGAGGGGAATAGATAAGGTGGAGGCAGGGAGGTTGTTTCCACTAGCAGGTGAAACTAGGACTAGGGGGCATAGCCTCAAAATATAGGGAAGCAGATGTAGGACCGAGGTCAGGAGGAACTTCTTCACCCAAAGGGTTGTGACTCTGTGGAATTCCCTGCCCAGTGATACGGTTGAAGCTACCTCGCTGAATGTGTTTAAGGCAAGGCGAGATAAATTTTTGAACAGTAAAGGAATTAGGGGTTATGGTGTGCGGGCGGGTAAGTGGAGCCGAGTCTCAAAAAGATCAGCCATGATCTTATTGAATGGCGGGCAGGCTCGAGGGGCCGGATGGCCTACTCCTGCTCCTCGTTCTTAGTTTGATGGCCTATAAACAATTCTTAGTGGCTTCCTATGGTGTTTCTTAACTTCACCTTAACATATTTAAAGCTTTTTCTGACTGAAGGTCCTCCCTCACTAATGTAGCGACACCATCTCTTATCAGCCCTACCACACCCTCTTTTACTTTTAGTCAATCTTTATCAAATATCAAATATCCTTGAACATTCAGTTCTCAGCCTTTGTCTATGTGCAGCCACATCTCTGCAATGGCAATTATAATAACCATTTTATTCTACTTGTGCAATCAAGTCACATAACTTGTCTATGCTATGTGCATTCAGTTAGATAGCCTTCAATTCTGCCTTCATAATATCATTCCATGTTTTTGATTATTGTTCTTTGCTAACAGAAATTGTGATGTAAAAATTCTGAGGCAGACTACCATCTCAGCTGCACCTTAACCACTGTAGTACAAAGAGTGTCTATAGGACAATAAGGACTATTCACTGACATAGCAGCTTATGGCTCTGGTTCACAAGCCACATTCAAGACATTGATAATGCCACAAGACCTTCTGAAGCAATTGCCTGAACTACTGCAAAGCAGTTTTCCAGTACTTGGCTGAATAGGTCACAAGAACTGTCATGATGGACTGCACTGGCACAAAATTGCCATCGTGAGGGTATGATCCTTGTCACTATGAGGAGGGAGAGGAAACCTGTGTGTGTGCGTGCGTTGTGTGGGCGCATGTTGCTGGGGGAGGGGTGCGGAATCCTCAAGAACTCTTTTCTGTCTGTGGTACTACATACACAAGAAACTGAAGAATGATATTAACAACAGGAAAACAATTCCATTTCACTAACAGCCCTACACTCATTTATTCTCTTTCTCTGGCAATGAGCATTACATTGTCCCCTGTCCACAATGCAACAGATAAAAGCCAACTGTCACAACTCACTGGGATAGTATGCTGGAAGTGAAGCCCCTCTCTTCCTGGAGTTGTCACAAAAGTTAAATATTTTATAAAAGCGTGCAAAGTTCCCCAATTTACCTCATTTCCAAACCCAGGTTACAAAGCTTTCTATAGGTTTCTGAAATGAACAAGAAATATTGTTTACTGCAAGTAACTAGGCTCAAACTACAGGTGAATTGTTATAAACTGTTGACATATAATACTTTGAATTCAAACCCTAACCCCCTTATAAATTCACTTTACACACAGACAGGCTGAAATACAGTAAGGGAAGAAAGCACACAGACGGAGGAAGAACTGGAGAGACAGTTCACTAGTCTTTGTTCACAATTTCTGGCGAGTGGTTTCTTGCTGATCTGAAAGTTTCTTCCTTGCTTTCCTTTTCTTAATGACTTACTGATTTGCAAGAGGAACAGGATGGCGGGTTCACTCATGAAACGTCTCTGATTTATCAGTTAAAAGTCACAGCTTACAACAACTGCTGAAGGAAAGATTATCTGGATTTCTTCAGGCTTAAAGTGAGTGGCAGGCAGGCAGGCAGGCAGGCAGGCAGGCAGGCAGGCAGGCAGGCAGGCAGGCAGGCAGGCAGGCAGGCAGGCAGGCAGGCAGACAGACAGACAGACAGACAGACAGACAGACAGACAGACAGACAG